AGGTGTGCTCTGATTGGCCAGCTATCCAGTGCGTTGTGATTGGCCGAATACCTCAAGCGTGTGACGGAAATGTTCCCCCCCCACCATACTGTGATGCCCTGTCCGGTCGGAGCGACGAGACAAAACCAATAAAACCCATTTTAAACTAGGCATTTGTTGCACCCAGTGGGGACATAATTACGGATTATACTGACTTACACTGTCTTTTTACGCGTTGCATCGCACCGCGTAAACATAAAACCATGTCTGCATCTAGAGTGAGCGGAGGCCAGCTTGAGTGAGCGGCGGAGGGCGGGTTTGCGGCAACCACATGTGACGACTCCGGGCTGGACTCCGCTTTGTCCACGGTGAAAGCCGATCCGGCGATCCACAGCACGAAGTTGATGTATTTCCTCAGCGACCAGCACGGATCAGCTTTAGGCATGGCTCTAGATAGCGGATATCGTCCTCTTTTGGAAGGCCAAACAAAGTAGTTTCGCTTTCACAACGAAACACACAGCGCCTTCACGACATGGCGGCAGCAACAATACTACAGCGAGAATAAAAGTTACGCCTTCTTTCTTTGCGTGAACATTTGGGCGGCGTTATGCAAATCTTCCCACATCGTGATGTAGACATGTGGGGGCGTGTTAGAATGAGCCGTTTTAGGTAGGCGTGGTTGACTCTTAACTTTTATAAAGAATATCTCTTTGGATTTGAGACTTTAGTCTTTGCAACTTTACAGATCTTCTTTATGCACCAAGAGCTTGTAACACTTCAAAGAGAAAGGAAAAATTGAAATCGCATCATATGACCCCTTTAAAGCAAACAGGATGCGCTTTCTGCCGTCTCGGACTCTGTGAACATTTCGAAACTCGTGTATTCTTGCCTTATTACAGACATGAAAAATATATCTATAGAGAGTGAAACTTTTAAATGAACCAATTCAAATAGAAAACAAATATTATCAGATTATGTAATCCGTATGAAACATGCATACAGGTGCATACTGCGGAGATGACGAGTCAGTGTCGCCGACTTCATCTCTTAAACCGAAAACAGAAAGCACTAGTGTAACAATAAATTATTAAAACGTTAATGCAGTGTACTTGCTGTTTTTCCCTAACACATTCATAATTATTATTTTTGCCTGTGTGCTGTGGCAAGCCTTTTTTGCGTGCGCTTGAGCGCTTATTAGGTTATGTAGGCAATTAAAAGCTCATTATTATGATTTATATGGTTTATTAATAAAAGTGCGAATAATAGTCAACTAATGCTTAAAATGAACGACTACTAATCGACCAGAAAAACATTTAGTCGAGGGCAGCCCTACTTTTTTTAAAGATTTATTTTGGAGTTTTTTGTCTTTTATTGTTATAAGACAGTGTAGATGAGACAGGAAGCGAAGTGGGAGAGAGAGGGGGTGGGGGTGGGATCGGGAAAGGTCCTTTGTGCCAGGATTTGAACACGGGACGCCTGTAGCGCAAAGGCGCTTCATGTCGGCACACTGCCCACAAAGCTATTGACTCTTTAAATGCCTTTAAATTATTTTATCGGCAAATCGGTTTTGAAAATGACCAATACCGATAACCATAAAAATGCTTAATATCGCACCGATAATCGGTCGACCCCTAGTTTAGTGCAACAATAAACTTGCTCAGTGTTTAATGTGATACGTACAGAAACAACTTGCTTAGTAGTAAATACGTACAATCTCAGTGCCGCACGCTCAATTTTGAGTCTCTCCAGAATAGCTTTGACTTTCTGGGTCTGTCTGTTGAAATCTGCAACCATCTGTAGTTGAGCTTCTTTGGAGTGAACAGAGCTTGCTGCATCCCACAAAGCTGCACTCCACTGGGCACTCAGCTGTTGCATACCCTCAGGGTCATGAACTGTGCCATTAGTGCCACTGCCAATGTCTCCATTGGCCTGGTCTTGCCTAGACAGCATAGATACCTGTCTCTGGGCACACCTTCTACATTCCTAATAACATAACAATACAAGTACTAAATGTGCTCAACTCCGAACGTAAATCAGGATATAAATGATTATTTGAAAAACCAGCAACACTACTTTTACATATTAAATAGGCAAGAGGACATAGAACAATCAATAATACGTAAAGTGTAAGTTCATCACACACTGATATTTTTATTGGGTTGTCCCACCTCAGCCTCTTCTAGTTGTTTGGCCATGTCTTTGGAATTCAGAGCAGCTGGGCAAGTTCGAAGGTCCAGTAAATGGAACACTAGCCTTTTTAACCGAGCTTCAAGATCAGTGCTGGAAGTGTCAAGAAGTTTCTTTGTACTTTCATGAGGTATACCCTAAAAAAAAAAAAAGCTTTTTGAAAGAACAGTTGACATACTGCACATATAATTTTTGTTTATGTTTATTTTAAACTTATGTCTTGACACTATTTAAATCACTTTCAGTATTTTGAATTTAATGTTATAGTGTTGACAATTTAAAATATTACCTCCATGAGTACACTTTTTGGTCCCTTTTCAGTCATTTTTTTGATATCCATAAATATATCCCTCATTGTGGGTCCCTCTGGCTCCCTATCTTCCTCTGCTTGACTCTCAGTGATTTCAGCCGCAAGACCAACTTGGGGAGAAACATCCACATCTTGATCTTGTGGCTGCAACACACAAAAAATTAGCAGAACTGAAGACTAGCAACTGCAACATCTCATATACAGGATAAACGATTCTAGATAAATAACTGAGATATTAGAGCAGTTAATTAAGTAAATTCAAGCAAACTCAATCATGGGTAAAAACACAAATTAAAACTCAGAAAGCCATTCCCAACATTCACAGTGCCATAAGGAAGAGTTGATGGAACCGAAAAAAAATTGCCCTCTTATGCCCTCTCTGTGAACATGACAATATTAAAAGAATGAAAGAGTATTTATTCATTGATAGAGAGCAGTAATGACTGTATGCATGGAGCTGAATGTGATGGGATTTTCTCTGTGGTAAGGCAGCCAGAGCCACACCAACATATAAAGATACAAATAGGAGGGTTATTCAGGAGCTCCAGGTGTTAATTGAAACTTTGTTAGAAGATTTCTTCTTCCATTAGAGTTAAAACCTAATGTGTTAGCTGTGTTTGGGAATGTAGACAATTGGACTGTTGCAAAAAAGGGGATTAATTTCACCCTACAAAGCAAATATCCAGATATCTTAAGGACACTTCATTTTGGCCCTAACACACATCCTCAGTTGAACACTTCCATTACAGTCCAACATGCAGATACCACACCATCATACCTCATGCAGGTTTGTTCCTTTTGGTGCAGTCATACACATTAAAGTTACCTGCATCTCACTGACGCTCTCTGTCTGACTGATTGCACTTATGGGTTCTGGGACCAAAGTAGAGTCCTGCCTCTCCTCTTGCTGCTCCTGACCAACCAATGACTTTGTATCAGACTCATCTTTATCTTCCTGTTTAGTTATTGCTTCAGCATCTGCTTCCAATTCCAGTCTTGCACACATAGAAACCTTTTCATTCCATGAACTTCCTTTGTCGCTGGTTGTTGGAGTTGATATGACCTGTGGCTCTTCTGGCATTAATGGAACTCTGTCAGCTTCTATTTGATCTTTCTTTCGCCTGGTCGGTGGAGTTGGAAGGACTTCCTCAGGTTGACTTTTAGGTGTAGTTCGAGCCATCTCAGTTTCTGCTTGGCTGTCTTTTCGCCTCAGAGGTGGAGTTGGTTTATGTATGCTAGTATCTTCTTTCAGGTTAGAAGCACCTGCGACAATTTCGCTCTCAACTTTGCTATCTTTCCTTCTTGTTGGTGGTGTGGGTTTCACAAAGGGCTCTTTCTCTTCTTGGTTTTTGCAAACTGCCACATCACTTTCAACCTGACTAATTTTGCATCTGACAGGTGGAGTTGGTTTAACAGTGTGCTCTTCCCTGTCTTTATGTTCACTGGTTTGCTGATTATCACTTTTTCCTAATTCAGCACTGTAAAATAACATGTCACTCTCTGGCTTATCCTTGTGTCTTCTTGATGGTGGAGTTGGTTGAGGATCCTGATCAATTGATAATCCTTTATCTTCACCTTTTTCTTTACGTTGTCTTGCTGGTGGTGTTGGTTGGGTCTCCAGATAAAGCAATAATTGACTATTTTCTTTTTCTTTATGTCGTCTTGCTGGTGGTGTGGGTTGGGTCTCTAGATCAAGTGATAATGTACTTTCTTCTTTTTCTTTACACCGTCTTGCTGGTGGTGTAGGTTCAGTCTCCAGATTGAGCGATAATTTACTACCTTCTTTTTCTTTATGTCGTCTCACTGGTGGTGTGGGTTCGGTCTCCAGATTGAGTGATATTTTACTACTTTCTTTTTCTTTACGTCGTCTTGCTGGTGGCGTGGGTTGGGTCTCCAGATCGAGTGATAATCTTCTATCTTCTTTTTCTTTACGTCGTCTTGCTGGTGGTGTGGGTTGGGACTCTAAATCAAGTGAATACCTCTCAATTCCTATTTTCTCTCTATGTCTTCTGCTTGGTGGGGTGGGAAGAACTTCTCCCTCTATCTGTGATTCAGTATCTAACGATAACCTTTCACCTTTACGTCGTCTGGTGGGAGGTGTTGGTATGACATCCACCTTATCTAATTGAACCTCAGTTTCACCCTCATTTCGTCTTCTGACTGGTGGCGTTGGTTTAGGCTCAGCTTCTATGGACTGCATTTTATCAACCAATGCCTCCTCAGAGACATGCATGGTATCCCCAGGTTTCTTCTCTGATGTTGTTGACAGTTTTACCTGGTTTGATTGGACATCGGTTTCACCCTCATTTTGTTGCCTGACTGGTGGTGTCAGTATAGTTTCCGCTTCTAGGGATTGTGCTTTATCATCTGATGGAGTCATCTTTATCTCATCTTCCACAATGACAGTGATAACTTCTGTACCTTCAGGTTTCTTCTCTGATGTTGTTGAGATATTCACCTTGTTTGATTGGACATCAAACTTATTTTCGTTTCTTCGCCTGACTGGTGGTGTCGGTTTAGGTTCAGCTTCTATGGAATGTGCTTTTTCATCTGATGGGGTCTTGTTTGTCTCTTCTTCTACAATGACATCTGCGGTGTCTACAACTTCATGTTTTTCCTCTGGTGTCAGTGAAACATTAATTCTTTCAGACTGTACCTCGGTGTCCCAGTCATTCTGTTCCTCAATGACATGCAAGGCTTCTTCACATTCAATTTTCTCCTCTGGCGATACATCCCCCTTGTCTGACTGGACCTCAGTTTTCTGGTCATTCTGTTGTTTGATTAAAGGTGTCAGTTCAGGTTCAGCTTCTATGGATTGTGCTTTATTATCTGATGATGTTGTCTTTGTCTCCTCTTCTACATTGACTTCCACAGCCTCTTCACCTTCAGCTTTCTCCTTTTGTGTTGAGACATTTACCTTGTTTGACTGGACATCAGTTTTATTGTCATTTCTCCTGAGAGGAGGTGTCATTTTAGGTTCATATTCCATGAATTGTGCTTTTTCACCTGATGGGGTCTTGTTCATCTCTTCTTCTACAATCACATCAGCGGCTTCTACAACTTCAGGTTTCTCCTCTGGTGTTAATGAGACATTAATTCTTTCAGGTTGTACCTCAGTGTCCCAGTCAACCAGGAGCTTGATTGGAGGTGTCAGTTCAGGTTCAGTTTCTTTGGATTGTGCTTTACCATCTGATTGGGTCTTTGTCTCTTCTCCCAAAATGATGTCAATGGCTTCTTCACCTTCGGGTTTCTCCTCTACTGTTGTTGAGACATGCATTTTGTTTGTTTGTTGGACCTCAGTTTCTACCTCATTTTGTTGCTTGATTGGAGGTTTACGTTTAGGATCAACTTCTATGAATTGCATTTTATCACCTGATGGGGTCTTCTTTGTCTCTTCTTCTACAATGAAATGCATGACTTCTCCAACTTGCCTTGTTGGTAGTTTTAGGCTTGCTTCAACCAGTTCAGATTGCTCGGATGCTTCTAAAGGTCTGTTTATACTGGCTATGACCTCTGATTCTGTTTTAGCATCACATTCTGTCTCCATTCTTTCTGATACTGAATGTTCTGATCCCTGAATCTGTCTCTCAGTGGGTTCCCTGAAAAGAGAAGCTTCATGAGCATGATGTCTCTGCATTTCCTCCCCCTCATGGAAGTCTAGAATAATATATCGGCGTTGGATTTCACGAGGGCCATTATTTGTGGTCCAGTTGCTCTCTCTGTCAGCAATTGCAGCATTTGGTCCATTGTTCCAAGAAAATGTTCCAATACCTCTGGAAGCAGCATCTTCACTACGTTGTGTTTCAGAAGGTGGAGCTGCTGTTGTTTGCATTTGTCCATTAGTGTCTATATCGATGAGCTGTGACTGTTCTGGTTCTACTGCTGAACTAATTTCTGAAACATTCACCATACATGGCTCATTAAGAGAAGATGGGATGCTAATTAGTTCTATGGCTACTTCAGAAATTTCAGCTTCTGGAGGGGCCAGTGTTTCATGATCTTGTTTGCCCAGTGTCGTCTCATTTAAAAGAGCACTAGCAGATGCTGCTTTCACTGTAGCACCATCTGTGGGTGTGTGGGAGTATGTGTATACACTATCTATGTGCACTGTATCCAAATCTAAAATGAGCGCAGTAACCTTTTTGGCCTGTGCTTTACTTTCTCCACAAGGTTCCTCTTGAGAAAGTGAAATATATGAGACATCTTCCTCTTTATCTGGCTCTGCAGTCACTGCTTCAATTTTCTCACCCTCCGCTCTATCAGCAAAAGATTCTGAACTCACAATTACATCAGACAACTGGCTTACTTGTCCTTCTGTGCTAAGACTCTCAGTGCTGAGTAATTCCAAGTCTGTGTCTTGTACTGTGGTTTCCAAGCTGTGGACAGCTGCAGATGAAGAAATGGGCATCTTTTCATCTGCAATCTCATCATTATCAGACTTTGTTTCCAAAGAAACAGAAACAAAATTCTCACTTTCAGTTTCATTTGCACCATGGCTGCTTGTAGGAAGAGCAGATTCATATACTCCTGTTGCTGGTTCAGGTAGCATCTCTGTGGTTAATAGTACAGTTGTTTGGAAATCAATCTGTTCCGTTTCAGTCTCTAATGTTTGTCGTGATTTTCTGGCAGCGTGAATTTCTGTTTCAGTTGTAGTTTCTGAGATTACACATAGAGGGATCTCGCTGTCAAGGTTTTCAGATGGTTGTACCTTAGCCTGCTGACTGTCATCTGTCAATTCAAAGCTCTCCGTGATAAACGATAAAGAAGAAACAAATTCTGACTGTTCAGACTCCTTTGTTGATGGTGTCGCAGCAGAAACCTACAAATGGTATTTATCATATATACATAGTACTGCACATAATGGCCAGATACAACAAAAGCCTAGAAATATGTTTGTATGTTAATATGTATGTTTGTGAAATTGTACCTGTGAATCCAGCTGAATGCTTTGAGCTTCCAGTGACAACATCTGAGCTTCCTGCTTCACGTTCTCCTCCACATTCTGAAACACAGACTCATCTTTTTAAACCACTAGACATCTCATGTAAAGCATCATCCCACAGAGTCATACTCACCTTAAGCTCCTGTTTAAGGTCATTCATGTGAATGTCTGCTTCGTTTAGTGCTTTTGTTCCATCTCTTTCAAGTTTGCCAGCCAAGTCAGGGCCCAGACATTCCCTCAGCAGTTCTTTATGGGACAGCACTACCTGCAGGCTTTTACACAGTCTCACACCTTCCTCAATTGCAGCCTAAGGAGTAAAATGTTGCATGTTTAAAAGGCAACAGCAACCTTACTCGTTCAAATGGACCAGTATGGTGCAGGTGCTATGTTTTGTTGTGTACTCACTCACATAATTTATGCAAATTAAGATACAAACACACCTGCATGGATGTGGCTGAGCTGCAGGGAGGATTTGCATGTGTCTGGTTCCATGACTGTATGTTTTGTAAGGCCTGTCTCACACACTGCACAGTGCTGTCTGCGCACTTATTCTGCTTTTCCAACAGTTTTGACCGCAGACTGAGAAAAAAAATAATGACGATTCTCCATAATGCACTTATAATAAATAAGTATTACACTGTAATATAATATAGCATTATACTATTTGGGGCAAACATGCTATCAATTTTACAATTAAATAAACAGGATTCAGATTTAAGCACATTATTACAGACATTTATGATAATTTAATTAATTTGAAAGGCAACATGTCTGTATGTACCTGCAATATTGTTGTGTAACTGTGTCCACTATAGAAATGACATCACTGGGGGGTCCCTCATCTGGTGGGACCATTTGGAGGGCCTGGCCAAGGTCGCGAACATTGCCCTCTAAAGACTCAAGCTCTCTCTCACATGTCTATGAGAATATAAAAACAGTGAGGTTTAAATTTATTGACTTTCTCTAAAGTTTAAGAACAAACAAACTGAACATATATGAATTAATATTTTCCCACAATACCTTGAAGCTATGCCAGTTTTCCTGTAGCTGGCTGATATTCTGGCTATCCACCAGAAATCCTAAAGAGTGGTCCTGAGCACACAGCTCATCTAGGAGACTCTCTGCTTGCTCCCTGAGAATCTGTTCCCTGCCAGCAAGCCTGAGGTCAATGTCACTCAATCTGGCCTCACACACAGCTAACCATTCCCTCATCTCTTTCTCCGAGGACACACAGAGGTCATGAAGATGGCTGACCTCTAAGGTCAGGGCATCACAACCTCCTGCAGTGCTAAGATCCATCAGGGAATCTTTAACAGTATCCAGTTCTTTCATTTCTCTCTTCTCCCTGTCTATGGTCTGAAGAAGAGCCTACAAAATTATAATAAAAATATATATAATTGTATTTATTAACAGGTTTGACGAAAAACTGAAAAATGGATAAATCGATTTTATATAAAACAAAGAATTTAAATAGACCTTAAGAGTGTTAATAGAGCTTTGTAACCCATGACGTTCAGTGGGCAGAGCACCGAAACCGTTGACTTGCTCTCTCAGCCAATCCTGTGCTACAGTGTGCTGCTCAACTAACTGAGCACAAACTCGCTCTCGCCGGATTTCCTCTTCGAGATTTACACAAAACTCCTTCAGAAGCACACATAAAAAAAGAATGTCATACACATAAATCAAGTTTCTATTATCTATTAGTCACGATTAGTCAGAAATATTTAGAACAGCACACCTATATAGCCTTACCGTAAGATCTTTGATTAACTCAGGTATGCACTCCTCTGTGGTGGCCCAGGATGGATCAATCCAGCTGGAATCATGGGTCAGCTGGCTCATCTCCCTCCCGAGCGCTCGGACAGCAGACAGAGATGGGGTCAGGGCTCTGGTACGGTCTAGCAGACTCTTGGCTTGCTCCAATGTGTGCCTTCGATCCCCTAAACCAGGCCAGGGGAAGTGCCATGGCAGTGCAGCTCTTTGCTGTTTCACCTGATCCAGACGAGACTGAAGCTGTTCCTTCTGACACCGACAGGACACCAGACGTTCCACTACACTTTTCAGCAGACTGCAGAATGAGGCATAACATAACATAACATAACATAACATAACATAACATAACATAACATAACATAACATAACATAACATAACATAACATAACATAACATAACATAACATAACATAACATAACATAACATAACATAAAATATAATATAAAAGCTATACTTTTAACACATAAAAAATTGCATTTAATTATGCACCCTGATCTGCACATAAAAAGCCATGTCCATTCAATTAATCTCAGAATATATTTAAAAATATGATAATTTGCAATTAATTTGAATCATCTAGCAGTGCTGTTTGCAATTATTTTTACATACAAAATTGTCATATCAAACCTATGCAGCTCCTGTGCTTGCTGCAGTGTTGTCTTCCACTCCTCCTCCACATTTTTAATTTTCTTAACAAAAGAATGTCTTGCATCTACATTAAGATCTTCACGGTTAAAAAGATGGTCTACAGTCTGTTTCAGGGCTGCAATCTTAGAGTTGCCCTCAGAGTGCAGACTTAGAATTGCCTGAAAGACAGAGAGTTCTTTTAAGTGTTTTACTACGGACATTTAATTTCTTCTTCTGTTTCTCCATATTGTACTACTTACTTGTGCTTTGCTTAGTCTCTCTTCAATCTGCTCCTGTGTACCATGAGTACTTTTTCCCAGTGAGTCCAGGCAATCTTTCTGGTTCTTCACCCAGGTCCAGGTGCTCTCCTCCTGGGTACAGACATTCTGAAGCTCCCTAGCAAGAGAATCCTGGAGCTCAGCCTGGCTCTTTAATTCTTGAGCACTTGCCAGGACCTTTTTCCATTCTTCTTCAATTGATCTCAGGTTCAGCTGGATTTCCTGTTTTCTTTTCTCCTCCAGGCCTTCTCGAGAGCACAAAACCTCTGCTTTCCTCCTCAGGTTGGCTAGCTTGTAATCCCCCTCTGATTCTGAGTTCAGGATGGTCTAGAATAAGCAAACCATGTCAGCGAGTGAGTCAGACTGTTTTTAAAGAATTTAAAGAATATCTGGTGAAGGTTGAATATCACTCTTTGTCTCTTACCTGAGCTCCATTCATTCTCTCTTGTAACTGAGTCTCTTCACCGAGCAATTCGATCTTCAGATGCTGCTCTGTAAGCCAAGAGTGTGTGCTCTCCTCCTGTTCTTGAAGATCCTTAGAAAGAGACTGCTCAAGTTCTGATTGGTTCTTCAGTTCCTGAGTCTGCATCAAAACTCCCATCCACTCTTGCTGTACATTTTGTAATGTGTGTTGGATTGTCTGACGTTTGTCCTCATCTAGATCTTCACAGGAACATAGATTCTCTCCCTTCGTCTTTAGGTTAGAAAGTTTATAGTCCCACTCAGATCTATGAGCTAATAGTGCCTAAAAACAAAACAAAGCCAAGACATTCATCTAAACCGTAATTTCTGTCATGCTTTAATTCTTCATGCAGTAGTGCAACCCATCAAAGCTTCTTCATTGGTTTTCAATAAATATTTACGGCTCCAGAAAGTATGGCCTTGTTTCTTAACTAAGGAATAAGACCTGTCCCTTCACTTCATGTACAAATCATATTTATGTAGCCTCACATTTTGAATGCGTTGAAAGTGTTGTGTTGGCTACAGTTTTTAGCTATTTGATGTAATCGAATGTATGCCTTTAGAGTGAACCTGAGTACTTGCCCCATTTTCAATATTATAGTTTATCATAAATTAGGCTTACTCACTGTCCCTTCCCAAGCCTCTCATGTACAAACATTTAAGGGTTACATTTTCCTCTCTATTACCTCAGCTCCATTAAGCCTCTCTTGAATGGAAGATGTCACAAGAAGGGAATCCAGGGTCTCTCTGAGATGTCTAATCCAGGATCGAGTGTCCTCTCCCTGATCACAGAAAGTTTGTAACTCTCTGTAGAGAGATTCCTCATGCTTGACCTGGTTCTTGAGCTCCTGGGCAAGTTGTAGCACTTTCCTCCACTCCTCCTCTACTGCTCTCTGGGTTTGGTCAATGTGGCTCCTCCTCTCATTCTCAAGCTCTTTATAAGAACATAAATGTTGTCCTTGTCTCTGTAAACTGGCCAATCTGGAATCGGCTTCATCACCAAGATCTATGACAGCCTAGAGGATATACAGACATTACTCCCAACACAATATGTGCACGGCTAGCAACCTTTACTCAGTTTTATCTGGGTTAGAATCATGCAAGAGCCATGAAAAGATTTAGATTTAAAAAATGTCCCTCTGTCTTTACCTGCACTTTATTAAGGTTTTCATGTGGCTGAAGCTCCTTCCCCAAAGAGCGAAGCATTTGCAGTTGTTCTCTCACCCAGGACTGGATGCTCTCTTTCTGGGCCTGTAGATCCTCTAGTTCTCTACAGAGAGTGTCTTGGAGTTCTGCTTGATGTTTTAGCTGCTGAGCCATATCCAGAACTCTTTTCCACTCATCTTCAATGTTTTCAAGGGTGTGAATGAGCTCCTGTCTTCTGGTGTCCTCCAAAATCTCATGAGCACATAAAGCATCACCCTCTTCTTTCAGAGCCACGAGTTTAGCATCACCCTCAGGACTTAGATTAAGAACAGCCTTAAAACACAGAATAAAATTAATTTTATTCTAAATACACTGAGGATATTCCTCATTCCTCAGCTTAAGATGCTTAACCAGTTGTTCCCCTAAAATACAGCTAAAGAATCCAAACAATGAGGGTTAGTGGGCCCACCTGAGCATTTACATGTTTTTCCTGCATTGGCATGTCTGTCCCCAAGTACTCAAGTCTTTGCTTTAAATTTCTGATCCAGGCTCTGATCTGTTCTGCATTGGTTTGGAATGTTTCAATTTGATCATCAAGGGTCTTATGGACTTGTGCCTGATTCTCCAAAAGAATCCCCAGGCTGTGGTATCGGTCTATCAGGGTCTCGCAGTCTCCAAGGAGAGGGTCTCCCCTCAGGCCACGCATCCTTACAGCAGATAACAGGTCATTGAATGCCTCCACACGACCGCTGTGGATTAAGGGTGAAAGTAGGAGTTATGTAGGTTTTATATGAAATAAAAGACTGCACAATTAATCAAAATAAAACTGAAGTTGCGATATGGCTTATCTGCATTTTAGTCAATAATGAAGTCTGGCACTGTGTTTATTTACATCGAATAGTGAGTGGTACCTTTCTTTAAGAAAATCCTCTTGGATATGCCTCAGTTTTTCTCTCTGTTCTGGCACTTGCTCTCTCTGCTGCAGCCAGTCCTTCAAATGGTTATGTTCCTCATGCAAACTAAAGACAAAGTCATGAATGAATCGAAACAAAAGTAACAACTAATAGCTATGATGAGAACTTCTTCCATGTACCTGTTGAGGTTGTGGAGGATATCATCTAGCTGTTTATGGCGTCCTTGGCAGTGAGCCCTGAGTGTGGCCAGTTCTCCTTCCTGTTCCTGATGCCATGTGGAGAGCAAAGCTTGAGCCTCAGCAGGGAGCTTTGCCTGTCCCCCTTGCTCAAACCTCTCTTTCAACTGAGCCAGACGCTGTTCTCCTTCCTTAGATGCCAGGAAACTCTGAAGAAAACACAAACTGCTCCGTACCAATGAACTCAATTTGAACCCTTCCTGTAATTCTATAATTATGCTTTTGACTATGGCTGCTATCAACTGGTGACTCTTGCCATCAGATTGCTGTCCCTGTAATCAGTATATTATACAGCAAGTCTTTTTATCTAAAAAATATTTCCAAAATGTCCTAAGCCACAATGGAAACCATAATCATAGGGTTGGGACCTCACTGTTACTCACTGTCAGTCTCTGCATGGACGTTTCTATATCCTGCTTCCTCTCAGGGTTCTCAAAGCACTCATTCACAGAGAGCTGCTCATCTTGCAACCATTCCTCAAATGACTGAAACTCTTCTGCAGAGATCCAGTGGGACAAATGGTCAAAACTCAAATCACTTTTTTCACTTGTTTAATTTTAGCAATGACACAATGCAGAATGCAGTTTCTCAGACCTTTAATAGTCTGAAAGAAGCTTTTCTCCCCTTGATCCTTCTTCTGGAGAATCAGCTCTCGTGTTTCCGCAGTGCTGTCTTTGAGACGCTTACTATGATTGGTCAGCTCCTCCAAGGCCTGAGGTCCAGTAATGCTGGACATGAGATTGATTTCCTTCAGCAAAGTTTCAGCCTGCTCCTCCTGGTCCAAAAGCTGCTCACACAAGTCCTTCAAACAGAAAATAAAATTGGTTACATATTAAAACAGTGTGCTACGCATGTCTGTATGTCTGTTAATCATACCTGTAAATGCGCATCCAGTTCTGCGCGATCCTCTGAACTGATCATGTCTACTGAGGAGCGTATATTCTTCACAGATGATTGGTAGGTGTCAATCTTTTCTATTATATGAGCTTTAACTGTGAGGAGCTCCTGGAACACTTCAGTGCAGTCAGAGAAGAGTTCCTTCACCTGCTCCATTTTCTTCCTCAGGTTGGTTTCCATTACCTAAGACAGAGAGTGTGTGTGTGTGTGTGTGTGTGTGTGTGTGCATTTAAAGTTAGGAATAATTAGCAATTAGAAAAGTCCAAAAAGTTAATAAACGGAAAAAAATAAGCTGCACGTTTACCTGTAACTCAAGAGGAGATTCTTTGCTCTGCAGCAGTTCCTGGATCTCCAGTAACTTCCTATGGAAGTGTTCAAGGTTGTCCTCCTGGCACTGAATCTCATTCTAATAAACACACAAAAGACCCAATGGAATGACAGTACTGTGCCTTTAAGTCCATGCCTGTAAACATTGTGGATCCTTTCAAGGCAGATTAATTTTATTTTGAAGACACACCTTCATGCTGTCAACCTCCGTTTCACTGCTGAAAGGGTGAGACTCTGAGAAGATAATGAGTTTAGTAGAAGTCCAGCTGTCTACTTCTCCACCCAGAACCAGCTGTTTCTCCCACAACTCCAGACCCACACGCAGGTTATCCATGCAACTGTCTGTCTTCTCTGACACCTGCCAGAGAGACACACAGATTTACCAAGAAACTAAAATGACTGAACAAAATGAGATCCATGTGAATAGATGTTTTCCATATCCTCACATCCAGCCATGAGTCCACCAAAGCATCTGCCTCTGTCTCAAATGGAGTTTCTGAGCAATCAGGAATTTTCTTTAGCTGGGACTGCAACTGTCTGCACACAGATCTGGACTCCTCCATCTTGGGTCCGAGGCTATTAAGATCCTCCTTTATGCCAACGACCTACAATATACAGACAGAAACATTATTAGAAACATTATGAGATAAAACAGAAAAAATAGGTAGTCTCATGGTTAAAGATCTAAGCTACTCTTTCTAGGAAGACATAACTAGATGTTTTTAATCCTGCCTTTTAACATGAGCACTTATTATTACTACTATTGGTACTTAAATGTAGACTACACAATGATAATAAATTACCAAAAGTTGTATTCGTCATAACTCTGCAAAAAAATGTACTGCACTCCATGGAGGATCTGCCCAAATATTAAAATTAATTTTAAAAATGAAAATGAATTAAGATTAAAGGGTTAGTTCACCCAAAAATTTGCCTGTGTTTTACTCACCCTCAAAGCATCCTAGGTGTATATGACTTTCTTCTTTCAGACGAATCCAGTCGGAGTTATATTAAAATTGTCCTGGTTATTCTAAGCTCTATCATTGCAGTCAGCGGGTGTTGCAGTTGAACAGTCCACGAGTCGTCAAATAAAGCACGCGCATCCATAATAAAACGTGCCTCACATGGCTCCGGGGGGTGAATAAAGGCCTCCTGTAGCGAATCCATGTGTTTTTGTAAGAAAAATATCCATATTTCAAACGTACTAAACACTTTTCTCTCACTTCCAGTATCTGTCATACGCGGAAGCCGTTCCAGCGGATGACGTAGGACATATGCGTTGCACGTGCGTGCCTCTGAGATATGCTAGTCTCGCGAGTTTGTTTAATAGGAGCAAAGGAAGCAAAGTTTACTTACTTTAGCAAAGGAAAACCAGTCTCCTCTTGGGTTATATCGAAATCCTCCAACATTTTTCTTTACAAATCCTCGGTTTGTACTTTTAATTCGTGACCGGCGTTTTGTTTTGTTCTCTCTCCTCATTCGTAACTAATCACGCAACGCCAACGTCCTACGTCATCCGCCGGAACTGCTTCCGCGTATGACAGAAACCGGAAGTGAGAGAAAAGTGTTTATTACGTTTAAAATATGGATATTTTTCTTACAAAAACACATGGATTCACCCCCTGGAGCCGTGTGAGGCACGTTTTATTATGGATGCATGCACTTTATTTGACAACTTGTGGACTGTTCAACTGCAACACCTGCTGACTGCAATGATAGAGCTTAGAATAACCAGGACAATATTTAATATAACTCCGACTGGATTCATCTGAAAGAAGAAAGTCATATACACCTAGGATGCCTCGAGGGTGAGTAAAACATGGACTAACTTTCATTTTTGGGTGAACTAACCCTTTAATAGAACATTGGCACTGATTTGTCAGAACAAAAAAGGAAATAGAAGCCTCTTTGAGACTAAGACATGTGAAGCCCTTTCTGTACATGCAGATGAAGCAAACTGTGATTAGTGCTGATACAAAATTCAATTACAGGATGAAGTTTCAAATAAAACTGCTTCACACTGAGCTCTACTGTGCATCTGCATCTGGATTGTAATATCTGAGTAATGACTGACCCCTGGTGGTGCAAATCCAGTATAAAATTACCTTTCTGTGAAAGAAACCTGATGGTAAATTACAATAGGCAATTATAACATTAGTATGTATTGTGATTAGTCTGAAGTTGACATACTTTTGCAAGGAGTCGCTGTAGGTTGTCTTTGCCCATGTATGAAGCCTGCTCATTGATTGTTTGCTCCGCCCTCTGGAGAGTGTTGCCCAGGTAACTGCGACAGTTCTGAAATTTCTTCAGGAGTTCCATAAGAACAGTGCACTGCTCTTGTCTGTCAAACACACACATACACAGAGCAACACTCTGGGTTTCTGTCAATCACACTTGAACTTCCTTCTCCTGAATGTGGGTAACCAAACAGTTTCTGGTCCCCATTGACTTTCATAGTGTTTTTTTTTTCCATACTATGGAAGTCAGTTGGGTCCAGCAACTGTTTAGTTACCCACATTCTTCAAAACACCTTTGCATTCAGCAGAAGAAAGAAATCAATACAGGTTTGGAACAACTTGAGGGTAAATAAATGAGGACAGATTTTTCATTTTGAGGAAATGAACCCTTTACGAAAGAAAAATAGATGAATTAAATCAAAGTAAATCTCAACTTAGGTCTAGAAACCACCTGTCAGATACAGCTCTTTCAGTCTCTTCCCAAAGGAAGTCAAGCTCTTCGTTTGCTGGATGAGGGTGCTCTTTCTGTGGAGAGACTTCAGACAGAGCCTTCTTGATGCTTTGGTATTCAGGGAGAAGAGAGTTCAGTTGCGATTCCAGATCGGACAGTGCTCGCATCCTAAACACAGATGCAAACACAGTGTTAAAAGAGTGAAGGAGAACACATAGACATAACATACCATTTTTTTGGAGCTTGACATTGGCAGTTACTGTAAGTCAACTTAAAAAATGTTAAAAACTTGAAAAATAGAAAAAAACCAAACATTTATATTCTATAAATGAATTGTATCATATTCTCAATTAACTCATCTTATCTCAATTAACTCAAATTAAAATTAAGCCCAAATAAAGACAATTCTAAGTCTAAAGCATCTGTATCATGAGATCTATATAGGGAAGAAAGATCAATACCGATGTTGCACAGCTGGCATAGTGGGTTCCTTTAGACCCTGTTTTTCTGCTGCCGCCAGCACCTTCCTTAACTCAGCCTGGATAGTCTTCTTCCTTAGGCCGAGGCTCTGGTTCTGCTGTTCCTTCTGGCGCTCATTCTGTTGAATCATCAGTTGATCGTCTGCCTCTTCCACCCTGTGAACCAGTACCCCCACCATGTCCAGACAGGAAACAGGGCTCCCGTCCTGGGTCACTTTGAGCTGTGCTCCACCCAAGAGCTGGTCCAGCTGTGGAGCCTTATCCTTGAGGCTGCTGACTCCCTTTCTGATTAGTGTCAGCTTGGACCTGCTGTCCTGCAGTACAACAGCATCATTGCTGGGGGTGCTTTGCACAGAAGAGACATCGAGCACCACAGTGCGCAGGGACATGAGGAAGCGGTCGAGGGCACGGGCAGCGGCGTCACTCTTGCGCACCTGTTGCCTGAGCCGGTCCAGGCTGGATCTGTGGTTCAGAACCACCTGGGTCAGAGGTGATCGGTCACGCAAGTCTAGATGACTGGGCTCAGAGTCGAATCGAGACAGATGATCCATCTCTGTCTGGATACTTTCATCTAAGTCCTGAAAATAAGAGGGAGAGGTAAATATTTAGATTAAAAAATGGGATGGAAGAAAAGAGCTAAGTTACATACAGTGAAATGACCACTAAAAGCAGTGAAATTAGCATGAAATGCAGTACATCAAACATTCTTCTTTCAGGTATTATATATTATATATTTTTAACAAAATAAAATAACATTTGTGTCTCCATTACAAATTTTGACCATGAATATAACTCAATAAGAAACAAGTTTAATTAATAAATATAAATATCTCTCACCTTCACATCTCTCAAAATGGCAGGGTTAGCTAGTGTATATCCCTTAATATCTTTGGGCTCTTTGATGAAATTTTCCAGCCTTTTAGAAATCTCAGAGATCTTCAGCTTAATAGAGTCCATGAGCTCAAGTGCTGCTCCCAGTGAATCCACCCTGATAGAATGCATAGACTTATTTAACAAACAACACAACACACACACACACACACACACACACACACACACACACTCACAGTCTGGCTACAGGATATTTTCTCAGGATTTGAGTAGATCATATGATTCTTTGGGTGGCACAGGGTGAAAGTGAACAAAAGAAGTAGTAATATTATAGTAATAATAAGTCTGTGAATATTAATTTCAGCTCGGTAGTTTTAAACACACATTAAAGCTTATACTGCTCTGAAAGTCAGTGTAATGTCATGTCTGACATGGTCATACCTGCCCTGTAACTGTGACCTCTGCTCTCTCCACCTGACAGTGAGCTCCATACGGTCCTGCTCAACAGCTCGTTCGTTGTACTGAACACATTGCATACACAACACTTCATACTCCTTCCACAGAGACTCTGTCTCGTCCCACAGAGACTTAAACAGACAAAAAAGATTTTTCATTTTAAAGTAATTGTCATTTGAAAATGCATAATGATAATATCAAAGGGCTACTTTAAAACACAACACTGTGCATTACCTTTAATTCTCTCAGTCGTTTCTGCAGGTCTGTGGGAGTGACTGATTCTGAGGTACGATCTCCAAGCATGCATTGCTCATTTCTATTTAGCTGAGCCTGTAATGCAAATCTGGAGCTGCGGTACCTGAGCAGACCAAGAAAAAGATGTAAACCATATGATTCTGAAACAATATCACACACAATCTTATACAGAAACACATAGCTATGCTATTCCTTTTTTATATCCATACCTGTCCTCTTCTGTACTCATTTGTTTCACTATCTCTCTCTTCTCCACAGTTCTCTGTCGCTGGGGGCTAATCGGTGTAACAGCCTAAAACAAAATGTACCAAAGATTTTTAGATAAAATAATACGAAGTTTATTTTAAAACATAAGTTCTATAAAATGATCATATATTTGTACCTCTGAAACAATAACCTCTTTGAGCTTCTCAGGTGGTGGTGGGACTGTTGGTGGTTTTTGATTGGGTGGCTCTTTTGTTTGCTCTGTTTGTAAACTATTAGACATTGAAAATAAATAAATTTATGAATTTATAAATGGTTTTATCAGACAAAATTAAGTGATATGAGAGAGGCTCTTTCACTTTCTGTTACCTAGTGTCTGAAGGAGGTGTATCTGTGTCTCCACTGAACTGCCGCTGGATGGCAGCAAGCCGTCTCTCACATTCTCTAAGTTGGGCTTGTGCGAGCCTGTGTGCGTCCTCAGGGCTAAGAGTATCACACAACTCCTTCAGAGCTTCTAGCTGCTGTCCTGCCTCTGCCAGACTGCCTTCTGCAGACAAACAAGCCTGCAGGAAGAGAGAGAGAAAAAAAACTAAACCTACAGATATATATATTTTTTGTTATTTTTACTCATATTTTCTTCTTATCATTTATCCTTTTATTTATTTACTGTTACTATTTAATGATACTGTAATTTATTTACTTTGCAGTTTTGTTTTATTTTGCAGTATTTTTAATTTTCATTTGCAACATGCAAAATAAAAATAAAGTTGTGTCATGTGCCAAGTGAGTGATGTGGTTAAGAGGAAAGACAAGAACAAGAAATTAAGGGATTAATTGACCCCAAAAGCAAATGTTTAATTTAGAAAACAAAGGATGAAATAAAATATAGCTAAGAGAAGTTCATTCCCACACCCATTTGTCCATATGACTGTTCATGCTCCACGGTTAGGGTAGCTGTAATTTTACCTCTTCTTTTGATTCTGATATTGATTCAGGCCTATGGTTGAGTTTTTCCTTCTTAAAGTGTATCTCACATGTCTTAACCATATGGTTAAAATGCAGGCGGGTTAACTCAAATCTGAGTTGCTTCAAAAATTCTGATATTTGCACTCGAACATCCTAAAAATATTAATAAAATAAAAAAAACACAACAGCAAGCACACAACCTCTTAATATTTGTAACTTCACATTCAATCAGTTTAATACAGTGTAGAGCATTTCAGTTAGTATCAAAAATAAAAATGGTTAACAATAAAGTCACACTGCAGATATAGACAAACAAGCACTAATATTACTACACCGATACCTTCCACTGTGTTCTAACAGATTGTGTGAAAAACTCCATGTCTCTAAGTTCAGATGGGGTGCAGAAAGCTTCCATCCCTTCCGCAGCCCTCAAGAACTCTTCAACAAGTTCAGGGTCAAGAGTCCGAAGCGTCTCCTAAAAAAGAAACAAAAACCAAACACAGACACTTGGGAAAATTAACCACAATCTCTTATAAAACAACAGACACAACAATATAGTTTAATGATACTGGGCTCTGTTGCAAACAGCCAAAAAACAAACAAACTAACTAGTGTTTAAAATGGACAAACCTCCTTAACTGATGCCTGTTCGTCCATCATTCTCTTGTCCTTGAATACATTGATGGCTTCTATAATGTGCTCTTGAAGACAATGCTTGGCTTCCTCAAATCTATCCCTAACCAGGGCCTGTGCCTTTATATAAGCCTCAGTGTAGGCTTGAGGGGGAGCCTGGGCAAGTGCTGGCTGCTTAACCCGAGGAGCTGACTGCTGTTGGGGTGGTTCCTGTACTGGTAAATGCAGCTTTGTCAGATCTTGGGACTGAAGCTCTGCCTGGCCAACTTGGCTTTGGATGAGGGTTGCAGATGGGGCCTCTGTCCTGGATGAACTCCGCTTTTGCTGACTTTGCTGAGGCTGTTGTGGATTCTGAGGTCTTATGAGAGCTTGAGGAGGTGGTTGATTCCATGGAGCTACTGGCTGGGGAGCACCATGGAACATAGTCTGGGAAGAAACTTGAAACTGATGTTCTGGCCGGACTGGACTCCACTGACGTTGAGGGCTTGCTGGCCTTGGTAGGGCTTGATATTGGGACTGAGGATGTGGTCCCTTGGGCCCTTGGGTTTCAGCCCTTGGGTATACTGGACTGACTCTCTCTGGACTGACAGGCCTCCATTGCTGAGAGGGCACTATATGCTGAGCTGGACCTCGAGGTCTTATCTGTGATTGACCCCAAGGTGATTCAGGTCTAGCAGAGGGCAACTGCTGAAGCTGTGACTGCAGCTGGATTTTAGGGTAAACTGCCATTTGAGGTTGAGGTTGAACTACCTGACCTGGAACTTGGACAGTGGGGTATGTCTGGCTCACTATGCCTGGTCTTATTGGTGACCACTGCTGAGATTGAGTTGGAGGGATACTTTGAGGTTGGAAATGAGTTTGGAAATGGGCCAGTGATTGCATTTGGGCAGCAACAGAAACTGGTCCTTGCACTCTGGGGTACGTTTGGGTGACATCTCCTGGTTGACTCCACTGGGGTTGCCCCTGAGGTTGAATCACATGTGGTGCACTTCCCTGGGCTTTGACCTGAGTTTGGGTTTGAGATTGAACAGGCATCTGGAGTCGAGGCATAGAGATGATTCTGGGTTGTATGGGGGATGCACCTTTGGGTTGAGGGGTAATTACAGTCGGATTGCGCATTGTGGGTTGCTGGGACTGAGACAGTTGTCTCTGCATTGTTATTTGTGGTTGAATGGGAGATGTTGGGTACTGTTGGACTGGCCTTTGGGGCATTGTTTGGGCCACTGGAAATCTTTGTGGTTGTGGCACTGCAGGATGAGGCTGAGAAATAGTCTGTTGTGGCTGCCATTGGGCCATAACCTGTGGTTGCATGGGAGTCATGGATTGTGATTGTGCCTGTTTCTGGATCATCACTTGAGGTTGCTGTGGTGTCACTATCTGTGTTTGAGGTTGCTTTTGTTGCTTAATGGGTGCAGTAGCTTGTGTTTGTTGTGTAGTTGTTTGAGCTTGAGTTGATAAAGAGGGCTGAGGTTGGGGAAATACTTGTTGATGAATTGGAACAGTCACTGGCTGTTGTGGTTGTTTTTGAGTCACTGGTTGTGCTGAAACTGCTGGCACAGTTTGAGGTGGGTTTTGTGTTTCTACAAGAGGTTTCTCTTGTGCAACAGACTGAGCTGGCTTCAGGTGTTTCTCATCACTCTTAACAATGCTTTTTGACTGTGCTGTGCCTTGAGCAGGTCCCTTAGCCTCAGGTGAGCTAACAGCTACTATATGCTGTGGTGGTGCTTGAGAACTTATTTGACATTTGTTCTCAGGCTCTGACTGAGATTGTGGGACCAACTGTGGCATTGAGTTTTGAGTAACATTTTCCGGTTGACTCCTCTGTTGAAGCCAAGGTCTGTTCTGCAGATGTGCCTGGGACTTCTTTACTTTCCTCTGCTGCTTTGGAGCTTGCTGTGTTTGTGTTTCTAGTTGACCCTGAGGCTGTGACTGGATTGATACTTGTGGTTGAACCTTCTGCTGTTTTGCAAGCTGAGTTTTCTCTTGTTGATGAATGTGCACATGTGGCTGTGTTGCTAATTGTTGTTTATTATGTACTTGTGACTCTGCTTGTTGTAGGTTCTGTGAGGGTTGGCCAGCTACTGGACCTTTTTCTGTCTGTTGTTGTGTCACAGACTGTGGTAAAGATTCCTGGCTTTCTACATGATGCTCTATGTCGATTTTTGTTTGAGCATGGACAACTTTCTCTGAATTAACTTCAATGGACTGAGAGTCTTTCACTTGCACAGAGGGATGCATTTGTGGTTGTGGACTACTTTTCTCCTCTTCATACTCTTGCACAACAATCATTGGCACAGGCTGACTACATTGCTGGGCCTTGAGGTCTGCTGCTTTAGAAGATACATCTGAGAGTATTTGAGATTGTTCTGGAACTTTGGCCCTGACTGCAGGCTGAGGTTCTGGTTGGCCAGGGGCTGCTGATCGAGAGACAGGCTGGAAGGAGGGTTTTTGGGACTCTTCCTCTGTCTCCTGATATTGGACAAAGATCTTGGAAGGGGGCTGGTCTCTAACAGGGCTTCGGTCTCTGCAAGCCCCCAAAGAGCTAAGCATCCCTATGGCTTCCTGTTGAGATTTAGCAGAATTTTAAAATCATAATGCATTTGCATACAATTCTAAAACAAGGTTACTCATTCCTAGGCAGAAAACATCATTTATGGCATAACTGATAATTACCAAAAGAGCTGGTTCAGTTTTATAGATGATCTTTTTTAATTCATTAATTTAAAGTAATTTTATAGATGCAATCATGCTGACAGCATTTTTTTGTTAATCTAAAAGCAGTGGACAGACCTGTGACTTTTCAACAGCAGTGCGGACTCTGTCCTGCATGGTGGATGCAATGAGATACTGCAGTGGTGAAGTCTTTTGATTAGTCATGACCATCACCTGCAGATCCTGTTCCTCCATAACCACCTGACCCTCTAACTGTAAACCCCTTGATATCAACAGCTACAGGAAAAGAGAGACGAGTCCTTTATACCAAATCACTTAAGGAAGGAGATGTATGAATATTTTGTGGTGCTTGTAGATACTCACCCGTGCTCTGGGATCTTGTCCTCTCTTCTGCCTGTGCGCTTCCTCCTTTAGTAGCTGATAGAGATCTCTGGCTTCCATCTCCCAGTGTAACAGTTCAGCTAGACGTCCGTCCAACCCACTAACACTCACACGCAGCTCATCACACACCTGCTCAGCCTCACAGAGTGTCTGCAGGACCTAGATACACATACACACACACACACACACACACACACACACACACACACACACAAACAAAACAAAGAAAAAACAGAAATGCATACAGACATCAGACATACAGATCATTATTTGTGTTAGATTAACATTTAAAAAACGTTATATTCTGCAAATATGTCTATAATTTGATTGTATACATGAAGGCAAGAAATGCACAAGAAGACCTAAGGGGCCAACCAAAGCAATGTGGTTGCTTACTTCAGGAATGGCTTGCTGAAGTTTGCTCAGGGTTTCTGGAGAGCAGTCTAGAGATGGCAAGAGGGCTTCTAGATCCACATCCTTTATTTTCTTCATCATAAGCTGTGAGAAATAACAATTTTAAGCTAAATCCTACTTAGTCTATTCCTTCATTTAGAAAACAAAAAGACAAAGCAACAAAATCACAAATATCTACTAATAAAAAACAGAGAATACAAAGTATATATTGTGTGTTTTTATGTATGTGGGAGTGTGTGTGTAAGTATGTGCACACACTGCATACCTGTAATCTCTTCGTGTAAGTACGTAGTGATCCAGAAACGACCTCCACAGGTTCTTTAAGTAACTGAGTGGCCTCCCTTATCAAAGACTGAACTGTCTGAGGACTGGATGGGCCAGCACTGGGCTCCTCAGCTAAAGACTGAAATATGCAACTTGCTTCAAAATACTACAAAAGGCACTCCATTTTATATTTATAGAAGCAAATTATTAACTACAATCTCTGTCCAATGCAATCAGACAAAACAATGTATTGTTCCTATTCAAGATAAGCAGACTTTTCTTTAATACTTTATTTCATGATTAAGATTGCACATGGAGTATTCAAATTTGAACATGATGGGTAACTTACAAACTGGGCTGTTTTGGCAAAGTCAGCCCAGAGCAGATTTATCTTGCAGAGTTCATCTGAAATAGCACGGCTTGTCTGTGGGTCTGTGACCTCTGTCAAGTAGTTGGCCACCTCATTCAGGTGAGCTTGGCGGGAACTCCACTCTGACATAACTGATAATGTCACCTAGGAAATCAATGGGAGAGGCATGTTTACATTCGGGAAAAAAAACACCAACCGCCTTAAAAATATTTGAGTTTTGTCTACCCAGTGCATGGATTGAGAGCAACAAAGTCAATTCAAAGTTTTCTCATGTGTTTGTTCACCTCTGTACTCTGTCCGTGTCGCTGGGCATGTGGACCCTGCTCCAGCCATGCTCGCATTGAGGTGTAGATATCACTGTAAGAGTCCCATGCTGCCAACACGCGTCCCATAGTTCCCCTCACCATCCGTACACCCTCCAGAGTCGCTATCACATCTGCTTCCAGATCAGCCACCTGACAATTTACCTGAGTCGAGTCTCCAGCTGAAGCAGACATCAGAATATCAATAATTACTGATTGTTCAATAACAACACTTTTCACAAAAAAGTGCATAGGATGTAAATGTTTAACAGTTTTACAGTTCTTCATACATCTACAGTTTATTTCTTTATTTTATAATTTTATGGTCTTTTAGGAGCATGCATATAAAGTTTCTTTGTATTACCCAAGGCAGCCTTGCTGGTGTATTTGTTCGCGATTAGTTTGAGTCTATGGAGGGCTCCATCCAGCAAAGAAGCCAGTTCCTGTTTGTTCACAGTCTCCTAAAAACATTAATTGTGATCCAAGTATAAAGCATCCATAATTTCAGAGTTTAATGCTAACTGCCAAGCAATGTCCAGCAGCAAATATATTTTTAAAATTCTGTCACTTTATTTGACTTCACTAAAATTCTCACTCACATTCCAGTCCTGCATTAGCACACGAACAGCCTCCTGGGAAATGTAGGCTCTTTTCCAAGATCGCAGTTTAATGTTGAGTTGATTCAGCAGGTCTAACACTGTGTGTCTGCGCTCACGGTACTCCAGCTTAATACCATGATATTTAGCTGTTACACGGACACTGGTGAACCTGGAAAATGGACGCATACACAAAAATATTAAATAGTTCATGAAACAAGAACAGCAATACTGCAAATAAAAGTGATGCTGTTTCATTTGCAATATGACTCATGTACGAGGTGTGTTGAGGCAAGTTGGAGCTAAACTCTGCAGGACACCGGCCCTCCAGGACCGAGTTTGGACAGCCCTGGATTAAGCAATCAAACTCACCTTCTCTTCATCTCTTCCATCTTGTCTGCTGGCACCAGAGCCTCTCCAAACTCATTTGTGTTTTGAAACATATTAAACCTCTTGATATGATGTGGCATCTCCTCCAAACACACCTGCAGATAAACACACAGGCAGAAATATGACATTACTTACATTTTCATGGCTGAACGGCTCTATAGCCATAATAAAAAGAAGTCAGTCAGTCAAACCTTTAGTAGCTCAAGTTTCTTCCGAGCCTCCTCTGCGGCTCGGGCGTGATCTATTGGCTCGCCCTCTTCAGCAGATAAAACCTCTTCAATACGCAATAACCAGCGGCCTACAGTATCCAGTGGGGATGGAAGGCTCAGGTCCAGCTCTGTTTTATACTCACGTAGCTACACATAGACATAAATTAGCATAAGACTTCTACTGTAGGAATTTCTATATGCTTTCTATTTAAATGACATGCATTCAGACATGTTACGTTTCTGTTTTTCTATTGAGTCTGATGAATCTCAGCGCACAGTCGAATACTCAAAACCCATAAAATATCAAACAAGTAACACAACAGAGAAAGTTTCTGTGATGCAGTGACCTTCTCAGCAAGAGCATCCCAGGCTCGTCTAAGAGCTTTCTGCTCTGTACTAAGATGAGGAGTCCTCTTCATCGCTGTTAGTAATGGCATTACAGGCCGCCGCTGCTCGTTAAAAGACACAATGAAGGTGTGGAAGACCTGAAACACAAGTAAATAAACATTCATGCAAAAAATCTGAAAATGTGTTCAGTTTATTGCCAGGATATTATTACTCAGTATCTCAACACAGTCAATAGATTAAAATAGATTAAATAAAATAATATTTCACATAATTTGCTGATAAATCAATCAATTAAGCAATCAAAAAATCAATACATAAATGTTCTTTGCTCAAATTCAATAATGTATTTCCAAGAATAACTTGTGCATCTTGTTTCATTCTGCATTATGGACTGTATTAATTAAAATAAGACTATATCAATGTATAAGAATTCAGGTCTTACCTGGTATCTCTCAGCATAGCTCTCTCCTTCAGTGGAGTCCCACCCCTCTATCAGCTCCTGATAGGCCTGATCCAACCAGCATGTGACCTCCTGAGCCTTCTGATTGGCTGAGGTCTGGACAGACAGGAACAAAAAAGAAAGATCAACGACAACAACAACAACAACATTGTTTGGCTGCATTTGAAATCGCATACTTCTCTATTTTATAGTAGTCTAAACAGTATGTGATACATACAGTAGAATGTACAAGAGTAGAATGTTTGAATTCATAATTTTCATAAAACAGTAGGTGAAATGTACCCAGATTACTTAGTAAGCAACGCAACTGACACCGCTAGGGCACATGACAATGACAACACGGCTAATGTGCTGATTTGTGAAATAATTGCTTATTCAAAAGAAGTACCTACTCAGACTCAAAGAGTGTGAGATTTCGAACACAGCCTTTGATTTTTTTATCCATTAATAATTAGTTTATGGTGTCATTATAATCAAGGTATACAAAACAAAAATATTTACATCAATTCAAGTCTTAGGTAAATGATATGGATTAAACAACTCGGCAAGTTAAATACTATTTGCATTATAGACTACTAAACAGTAAAGTAATCAGAGTTTAGTACTGTAGTCGTCTGGAGGAAGCAAGTTCTTAACACAAACCAACTTACTCAGCATGTCTGTAATTAAAATGCTTCTGCTAAGTGCCACGAAAGCTCAGGTTCAGTGTATTAGAATCTTCAAACACAAGAGCTGCTTTATTAAATAAATTATCTCTTTAATTCCACAGATTATCTCTATAACATCTGGTTTTAATGGATTAGCTCTGTAATTTCTGGGGTTATCTACATAGGCCTAATTGAGTTTAGAGTTATCAGCATGTTTATACATGCAAGACACTAGTAGTTACTGAGCAGCACAGGGGGCATCATAAAAGGGGACAGGGTTGATATTTTACCCCAGGGGCAGCTGCTCGAGCTGTCTCAGGTGATTTGGGAGGGCCTGATTTGATTGGACAGGGCATTAACAGGTGAGCCTGATCAGAGAACAGTTCAAGCAAAACAATTACAAAAGTGGACCATAGCAAAAATCAGTCAAACTCTTCAGTCAAAATCAGTCAAAAAGTTTAAAATCATTAAGAATCTCAGATAACATACTTCAACCTAAGATATACACTTTCCTTATATATTCTTATAAATTTAAACCCAAAATCTTGATTATTAAAAGAGAAGCCTAAAAACATGTTATGTGTCAGTACACTTTCAGAAAAAAAAGCTGCCGCTGTACCTTTTCAAAAAGTACTAATATGTACCTTTAAGGTATAATCAATCTTTAGGGGTAAATATGGTACAAAGGTGTAACTTTTGAAAAGGTACCATGTGAGTGACAGCTTTTGTACCTTTTTGAGAGTGTATATACTGCATTTACTCACACACTGGTTTAGGGTTAAACAACAGGCCCGACAAGTCCAAATTAACCTTTCATTGACATTTGTGAATAATCCTAGTAACAAAACAACTAACACACCTTTACAAAACTAAAAGAAAAAAACTGTTAATTAATGAATTCAGCAGCTAAAACTAAGAGAGAGAGAGACAGGCAGATAGAAGTACCTGTCTTAAAGGTGATGCAGCTATAGAAGGAGTAAATTCTGATGGCAGATTGACAGGAGAGAGGCGCTGAGGAGGAGTGAGATACTAAACCACGATTGAGAGGAAAAAAACAGAAAGAAGAAGAGAACAGAGGAAGAAGAAAAAAAGAGATGTGAGAGCATAAAGAGTCACTTGAGCATTTCGATTTACAGTATGAAATGTTGGAGGAATACCGTCCTGTGTGCGTTTTGATATATTATGAATATGATAAATATAAAAACGTCCCCACATATACAGTATAGTAAAACCCAAGAGCGCATGATTTGTGGAAAATTTCTAATTGTGACGACAAAAATTGTGATTACGATTCAACCTAGTAAAACATCTTGAAGAAATAGTTCAAGGAATAGCTGCAACATGAGAGTGAATAAATGATGACAGAACTTAAATTTTTGGCTAAACTATTCCTTACTTCCATTCTTGAGAGTATAGTGTTCACTAGGAAAAAAAATGTATTAAAATAAATAAATGGCAAAGGCATGTGAAAGACCAGATTTAGGGTATAGTCATTGTAAACAGCATAAAAAGTAAATGAGAAAAGTGTACACTTTTGTGTGTGTGTGTGTGTGTGTGTGTGTGTGTGTGGCTTACCTGCATTTCCTCATCAGAAACAGAAGCATCTTTAGAATACTGCAGGAACTGAGCAACATATGTCATAATAGACTTTTCATCAGGATCCCTAACATCAACATCTGAAATACAAATACACCATTCATCTAGAGTATGTCATATAGAAAACAAAAGCCTAAAATTATCACTGCTTTTTGCATACTATACAACAAAACAACACAGCATAAACACACACTTACCGGCTGGATCTAGTAGTCTGGGGATGTGAAGTTCTCTTTCAGCAATGTGGAAGGCTTCCTCCAGGTTCTGTCTGTTGGTTCTTGTTCGGGCTCTAGTTAGGTCCACTATATTCGGTCTCAGAGCATGAAGTATTGCCAAAAACACTACACCACTTCTCCAGCTCGCCTTAAAGTCCTTCACACTCAGAGTACAACCAGCCCTGTGAAAAAAGACAAAAAAAAGTAATTGGTTTCATAAAACAGAATCTCACTGTTCCCAAGAATCCCTTCTAGCAGGTTGTTCCTCACTTTTGGCACTGCTCTCTGACCCACAGCAGCAGGGCTTTCTTGGCAGATACGCGGAAACGGGTGTGCAGGGGTGAACCATGGGGTGGCACCGGACTGCTGCGGGCACTGCTGCTGGTCGAACGAGTGTCTAAACTCGCCAGTGACTCCAGAGACGACTGACGAGAACTAAAGTTCAATGTGCTGGCCAACTCTTCGATCTAAACAATGTAAAAGACCCATAAGAAAAATCACAAAATTGACGATCGTTCTTCTCAGTTTAGAATATTTGTAGTACATTTTATATTGGTACACTTTATTAGGACTTCTTAAATCTAATGGTTAATATAACCCAACTTTTTTGTTAGACTGTGACAGTAAACTTACATGAATGTGCATGATGATGGTCCAGACGAGACCCAGAATGATGGAAGGCTTCCCATCCATGATGTCCGAGACACTGATGTTGACCAGTTTGATCTGCAGGACAAAGATGTTGATAAAGTAACAGATGTTCATATTTCACCTCCATGCAGCAGTGAGCTAAAAGTAATGCTTTTCTTCACACAATCGTGTGAAATGCATGATGTTGGCTAGAGGGGCAAAGAAAAATTTGATTGTTTTTCAAAGCAACACAGAATAATTTTCACTTTCATTAGCCTGTGCTCAGCCTAAGCTCCTCTCTGCACAACAATGGTACTGTAACCGCAAAACTCCAACATAATAGAAACTCTTATTAAAAAAAGCATGTACACTGGGAACAGAAATCACCTGAACAAACAAAAAAAAGCATTAATGTAGTTTCAACACAAATGGATTAACTTATTACTATTTTTTATTTTTTATTTTTACAAATTTAAATTGATTGCACACAATTAAATTTGAAAACTTTCTCCTGTGGGAGAAAAAGTCAAATATTGTGTTGATGCATTAATGTGTTGATACATTTCCATGAGTATTTTCCACTGTGGTGCATCTTACCGATTTCCTCGTAAGGAACGCTAGGCCTTTCTCAATGTTTGTTCTGTGCTGAAATGTCCCTCTTCCTTTTTCTCGGCTCTAAAATGAAGGTAGGTTGTGGTTATCACAAAATCACTGCTCATGGTTTTGTAATAGATTGGCATATCTACCAGTACTTTGAGTTTATCAATAATGCCACCAAATATCAGCTCAGCTTGTGTTAGTTCCAAATAACCTAGTCAATGGATAGTGCACATTCTTCTGTTTTCAAAATTTTTAAGCAGATATGCAGTATAATTGTGCAAAATAAATATGAATCTCTTCTCAAAATCTACATTAAATGTTGCTGTATTATAGGTGTATAGGTATAGATGTATATATATATATTGGGCAAAGGCCACCTTGTTCTCTAGATATCAGCATAGGTTATTGAAAAATCAGTTGACCATTAATGAATCAGACTCTTACCATTCTCTGACCACTCAACACCTCCAGCAAGTCCAATAGTCTGCTTCCATCTCTGAATTCATTGAAAAGATCCACCACTGTAACTGGAGGACTCCTCTGAGAGACCAAAATGAAATATTACATATTAAACACCAGAATGCACACAATATATAAATTCCTAACTAATCCATACAGGCACAAAAACATTTCTGGGTCATATATCACCTCAAAATAAAAAAAATAAATAAAAAATTGGTAACACTTCACTTAAAGCCTTTATGTATAATGCATTATAAAGGGTTATTAAAGGGTATAATGCATTATAATTATTCATAATGTGCGTTGTAATACATTATATCTTGTTGTAAATAAATATAACCAAATTTAAATTCATAGTGTAACAATGAATTGATAAGTGTTATAATGTATTAACTGTGATTACAATAATTCATGAGATTGTAGACATGTCTAGAGGCCAAATCAAACAAGCTTGTGTGAACTTATCCTGTTGAAACCTTTTACATAAAACCGAGAGCTCCAGGCATTAATAAGTGTTTGCTGGGGATACGGAGAGAAGAGCATTGTGAAATTATCTAAAATAACACCTCTTACACGTCCTCTGTTCATGCACATAAGATGTCAAGCCATGACAAACTGATCGTGTCATTTGCTCACTTTATAAGTAGCTGTGGGTGTGAATATGTGTGTCCACAAGCGTGTGTGCTGGCCAACTCCTGTTGCTGTCTGTCTTTCTGGTCCATGTCTGAGAAGATTATATTTACCCCCTGCCCACCCCTCATTCCCTCTCCGCTATTGGAGAACCTGCAGGAATGACCTCTACCAAAAAAACCTCTCCATGTTGGTCATTTATCTGTAATTTAGTTGCATTTACTCACTGTCAATATACACTTGATTAAAAATAATGCAAGTGAGGTCCATGATGATTCAGATAAACACAACATCACTATTACAGCTTTTCTAAGTCAGGTTTAGGAGCTCTTGAACTTTGAACCTCACCTTAGACAGCTGGGCATTGATCCAGTTCGTGAAGGTTCTTTTCTGAATTTGCTCCTGCTCAACTGAAGGCAAAACAGAGAGGAGAACATTATGAAAACCAGCATGTAGAAACATAGGGAGTGAACACACCTTATACAACTACACACATGATTTGCAGGATTGAATCACTATGTGCTGTGTTCAAATCAATTCAAACGATGTCTAAGAATAGATCTTATAAATGCATGAGGACGAAACAGGTGCATTTGTATTCAACCATAACATTTTGAAGGGTATAATGTCTTTGGCAATTTTAATACATGAAATGTGTATCAATGGCATAACCTTTTACCCCAATTAAATTAAATTTAAATAACATGTTTTAATCTGTAGAAGAATAAACATGTATGTAAACACTGGAAAAAAACACTTGTTTGAGAGTGAATTCATTCATTCTTTCATCCAACTTTTGTCATAATAATTTGCATACGCTCCACATACATGAAATGCAATACAGACCTAAAAGTAGTCACATCAAATAGAGTGCCGTTTACGTTTACCGTTATAAAGTTCCACAAAGTCATTCAGCTCATCAGCTGTGTGAAGAACATCTTTCTCCCCCATTCTCTCACAATCCACTTCTTCCATTCTTCTTCTTAAACAAGGACCTTAAAATCTCTCACAATATGACCAAGTCTACACCACTGTTTTCTCAGTGTTGACAACTCTCCTCTCAATGAACGTGTGAAATCTTCAACCACTGTTTCTGAAAAACCAATAAGACAAACCTGACTGCCAACCTGACTCACTCTGCCAGCCTGCGGTGATTCTAAAAGAGCTCTCCCTCATTAACTGCTAAACATGGCCATCACTATGAATAAGACTCTCAGGCCAGTTATCAGGATAATGTCTCAGAGATGTGGCTCTTGACCGACTGACCCATAAAGAGAATGAGAGAATGTGTGTTTGAATAGTTTCCTTGACAAGACTGAAAGGGTTTGACTATCACTGTTCACACACTCCTGTATCAGCAGCACAGGATGAGGGAAAGCTTTGAAATGGTTAAAGTTATCAGCTGACACCCACGCTAAGTTTCCTAGGGATTTATTTAGAGTTCAGCTATCAAATACTAACACGCTTTTACACTTGACACAGTTGACCCACGGTCATTTCTACCCTGGAAACTGATATGTCAAGCACTGAAGAAGTACGTAATACTGTATGTTGTTTTATTACACAACATGTAAAAGAAACCTGCAGAAAAACTGAAAAAATACCCATAACAAAGGTAACCATCTTGTGAACGTATTTTCTTATAGTAATAAAAATAAACATTTGTTTATATAGACTTTTATCACTCTGATATGTTTCAGTCAAATGTAATTAATGACATTTATTAATGACATCCATCTGTTGTCTTTAAAAATTAAACTGCATGTTGCTAGTGTTGCTGTTACGCAAGACAGAAACTGACACAGGGATCAGATTCAGTTCCTGGGATTTGTCACCCACCAGAGACCTAGTCCAAAAAAATGAATCATATCTAACAGACAACAATGAAAAAGAGGCCAAAAGAATATAGGGAAAGAAATGAGTGAGGCAAGTGCAGCGAGGGAAAAATTGTGATAGACACACAAACTCAAAAACTGAACCAGCCAAGTTATCGATTCACCTCAGAAAGAAACAAAATCCTCCCAGCAAACACTCCCCTTTACTGGTGACCTAATTCAAATGAACTCTACAGAAACACAATGACAGAAAAGACTGGAATGTTTCCATTGAACAAAGTTCATATCGTATAATCTATTTTGTTTTGGGAGGTGCAGTTCTTAACTCGTTAGAGACAACACCTCCCTTTGAGAGAACAAGAGAGGGAGGGGAAACAATAGTGAAACCATAGAGGCGATAAAAAAAACGAAAAGACACAGAAAATGAATGACAGCTTTTGACTGACACTTCATTCAGGCGGGACAGATACGATGAACAAATGACTTTTGTAATGACTCATAGTAATAGTGAAGTAAAATCAAATACATTACTATATCTGGAAGCTCCATGATTACTGTATCCTGAAAGAACTCTTTCAAGACAATATTGAACACTTATTTTATTTTTAAAAATCTATTTTCTATAAGTTTGATTTTTGTTTTTTGATACATATTATGTGCACCTCTCACCTTGTGATCCATGTTTCTTCTTATGAGACCTTTCAGATGGGTGTTCAACCCCGACAAAATGAGGCAACATCTTTTTGTTGTCTTTTAAGGAGACATCAACAGTGGTGATTGCACAATGATGTTCAGACGTGCATGATAGAATAATATTAATGTCAGTTAAAAATGCACTAAATGCTATTTTTATTATTGCACACTGTCTGGTCTATCTACTTTCAGCATTTTGCAAAAGAGAAACAAAATTATTTTTAACTCATTTCAAACCAATTACAAACTCACCCATGCTGCTGTCAGCAGATTTGCTATCCCAGAATTCCCTGTATTATCATCAGTTGTTGCAGGTTGAAGTGTGCAGCAACAGAAATGTTTCAGAAACCAGCCTCATCTTGCAATACAGCAAAGCAGTGCGAAACTCCCGCATTGAAATACTGGAGAACATGTGTTAGCTGTAGAACTGAAAAGTACCGTAAACACACGGCACAACTTGCCTGGTGACCTTTAGCGAAGTAATTCAGGATCAGTGCCAGTACTGCAGGTTTCAAAAAAAGCTCCACCTTTTACTTATGCTAAAAGAAACGCACACAGCATGTCCACACAGGTGCTGATTAACGCTTCTCCTAATGCAGTTCTACTGTATCCTCAGGGCTCCAGCAGTGATCAACATGTTAAGACATCAATTATTCACTGATTCTTGAGACATGAAACAAATATTGTGCAACACAATTTCACCTGCTATCCGTTTTTAGTCATTTAGACTGATTTTTTTATTTCATTCAAATTACCAAAGTCATAGTGTATGTTTTTTCTAATGATTTAAAAGCGACAGAATGAGAATAAGTAACCTGAAAACACATTAAAACATCAGTTCTTGGCAACTGAACAACCCCTCGACTCCACAAAGGAGCAGTGAGCAATTATGTTTTTTCAGAAGTAATTGCCTAAATTATGTTCATTAAAGGAATAGTTCACTTAAAAAATTAAAATTTGCCGGAAAGTTACTCACCCTCAGGCCAACCGAGAAGTGGATTAGTTTTTTTTCTAGAAATCTAGCATTACATCATTTGCTCACAAATGGGTGCCATCAGAATGAGAGTCTAAAGAGCTGATAAAAACATCACAATAATCCACAAGCAATCCACATGACTCTAGTCCACAAATTAACAAAAATAAACCAGTGCTTCTGGTTAAAATACGAGGCCTATATCCATACTATTGCTTTCTCCTGTGAAAATGTCATCCTGTCTGAATCAGGAGAGAAATATGCACAGATCCAGCACCACTTACCAGTGAAAAAGAAAACAGTCCCAAACAGTTCTAAACAAATGTGCTGGTGGAATTTGATTTAAGAGGACAACAGGGGAGGACTTTTCCACTGAACAAAGCATTATTATCAAGTGTGGAGTCATATTTTGGCCAGAAGCAAGAAAATGCCTTAATGTTGGATTAGTTTCTTACAAACATGCAGCTTTTCTCTTCACAAGATGCTAACTGATGGACTGTAGTTGTGTTGATAACTTGTGCATTATTGTGATGGTTTTATCAGCTGTTTGAACTGTCATTCTGACGGCACCCATTCACTGCAGAGAATCCACTGGTGAGAAAGTGATGCAATGCTAAAACTATCCAAATCTGTTCTGATCAAGAAACAAACTCATCTACATTTTGGCCTGAGGGTGAGTACATCTTCAGCAAATTTAAATTTTTGGGTTAACGATTCCTTATCTACACATCCATATTACTTTACTCTCAAAACAACAACAAAGACACTACAACAGAGACAGCGAAGATTTTTGTGGATTAAAAAAAATGAATTACCCACACCCTGCATTCTAGAAAAACACTTTTGTGCAACTCTTCATGACTCAGGGCAACAGAACTTTAATTACATCTGTCTGTTACCAAACAATCTGCAAAACACGTGCCCATGCATTATTTATGCCTTATTTAAGTCATTGATTTAATATCACAGAATAATGTGCATGTATGTATGCGTGAGAGAGAGATCGAGAGAGAGATTTTAACCCATATCATTTGGCATCACCAATAAATCACTTTAATCTGCTTTTGAATAAACAGATGAAGAAGTTTGTTGAATGAATAAATGAATGAATGAATTCATAGAATCATCCATGAAGTCCAAACAAGAAGTGAAAATTATTGCAATATATACAATTCGATACTGTCAAACCTATAACAGATAATGACACACCAAATCAGATATGAGCAACATTTTATTTTAGTTTTATGCTCAATAAAAGCTTCAATCTGACCTTGCAGTAGTATGTGGACATCATCGATGTCCAGTGGGAGCGAGCCACGTTCATCGGGCAGGTCTCTGGATGTCCTTTGTGACGTCATGGTTCCCACGGAGAGAGGTCAGCGGAGAACAACCTGAGGCATTGTAGCATCTGTGGAGAGGACAGATGATGTCTTAGCCGTCCAGGTTTACACTCGTAAGAATAAAGGTGTTATCACAAAATGGTGTTTTCACAGATACCATATAAGAAAGAACTATTTTTGATTCTCCAAAAGAACCTTTAAGTGAATCTTTTTTCTTAGTGTGAAGAACATTAAAAAAAAAAAAAACTTTCAAATCTTTCTTTAATAATAACATTCATTTGACACAGTGTCCTTTCTGTTATGCATTTCTTTTCAACTATGTAACTTTTATTGCTTGCTTTGTCATTTAAGGAAGCATTTCTATAAGAAGGGTATGCTAGACTTACAGAAATATGATACAATATTGGCGAGCTGATTATTTATAACATATAACAAAATAACTTTTTTATACAATCTTTTGAAAATAGCAATTCCATTGCTAATACTGGTTGTTTATGCTGGTATTTTCCTGCCAAAAATTAATTTGAGGACATGTCAGTTGAAAAATCAATAAACGGAGTACTACTTAAAGCAATATTCTCAAAATATAAAGTTTAATTTGAAACATTTTTGGCTGGTTTTTCATATTAGAGGTCATAGAAACCAAAGACTATAGAATACCCAAGACATGTCACTCCCTGTATGGTTTTGCCTTAAAGGGACTTTGATTAGAAACACAGAAATAACTGAGTTCCATAGTGTATTTTGTGTGTGTGTTTAATATTTTATCCATTGTATTAAGACACATATGATGAGGAAACTGAACATACTGAATGTACTGCACAGTAGGAATGACCATTAAGTTCCTGTGGGTAGACACATAAAGCAATGGCACCCTCTGGGGAGCCAAAACTGCCATTTTTTCAGAATCTGTGAGGCATGTTTAAATTTATCAGCATAAAGATTAAAGATTAAGGCCCGGTTTCATAGACAGGGCTTAGCCTAAACCAGGAGTAAGCCATAGTTCAATTAGGACATTTAAGTAATTTTTATAAACATGCCTTAGAAAAAAGCATTACTGGTGTTCATCTTAAGACAAAACAAAGGCTGACATGTTTTCAGATCAGTCAGTGCAAGTTTCTTTCAGTTGAAACAGCTCAGATTTACATTTTAGTCTAGGACTAGACTTAAACCTTGTCTGTGAAACCGGGGGTATAAGTGTTGGATAAACAAAAATTTCTCAAACAAACAGTAAAATCAGAAAGTCATGGCAAAATGTCATTGCATCAATCGTTCTGTGACCATGTGAATGTGTGTCCTTGCAGCAGAACGTGACTCTGTTAGAGAACAGAGGGGTGGAAGAATGTGTGCTATCCTGAGCTGGACTCACAGGAACAAGAACACAGAGAGAAAGAAAGTGCACATACTGGCATAATAATGTGCAATGAAAACACAGCAGGCATTAACACAGACCGGACACATTCCCAGAGATCAAACAAATCTGTGCATCATGTCTGAATCTGAGTGCTGGGATCACAGTCAAATCACACTGTGATTTGATAAGAGAGTTACATGGAAACTTCATCCACATGAACTGACCACAACAGCATCTAAAGCATTTCACACGTACAGAACGCAACACTCCCACAGGACAATCACCTAAGCAGAGCACAGACAATTCTTTTATGAGAACATACGTCACTATGCCTATCCTGACAACTACAAAAACACTGACAAAGAAGTGAAGTGTCTAAAACTGCCTTTGAACATGACACTGGGCATGATATAACTATTCACCCAGAAGGAAGAATTGATTACCCACTAAAATTGTTAATTAAGCTTTTTAAGCAGCTCTTTTCCAGAATTAGCTACAGTAACATGACTATTTTGGATGAACTATTCCTTTAAACCACCTGTGTTTTTATATTTATAACAGAAATCACTGTCAAAACAATAAGTAACAGTGCTCATCCCTCTAAGAGACACTAAGCTGTAAGTAACCCTTAGCAGGTTGGCATACAGTGGCATACCAAGTCAATGGCAAAAAATTGCATATACAGTATTATCTCTATAATAATAGTAACGTATGTTATTATTTTTATTTAAATTGTTAAAGACGTTTCAGTTTAATGTAATGAGTATTTATCAGTGTTGCATGCATAGGCAGCAGAAGCGTTCCGCACGCGGTCAAGAATAACCAGCGTGACCTCTGACACACGAAATGCCTTGAGCTCGAGAGGGGCGTTGCGTGGGACCCAAAAATAGCGCTGGCGCGGACACGCTTTACAACAAGTACGGCACAATATAACACGTCAAAATCAATATCGACTATCAAACACATACAGTTCTACTGCGTGTTATGACTTTACAACAGTACTCTTTTAAACTGAGAGCCTATTCAGTAGGCTATAGCCTAGGCCTATTATAGGCTATAAAGTGGTATTAGCCTATATATATATATATATATATATATATTTTTTTTTTTATTTTTTTTATTTTATTTTTTTTTTAAATTTAGGCTATATTATAGTATTGATATAACGTTTTGAACTCTCAGAACAAATTTAATAGCAACAAAGACAATTAATAAGACATTAAAATAAACGGTGTTAAAACGATTGAATCCGAGTTATGCGTTATTCAATGACCTTAGATATGTCAAGGTGGGTCTGTTCAGAAGAACTCAAACTCTACTTACATGTTTTGCAAAGTATGAAACTGTCTTTAAATGTCCACTTGCACCAGTGTTGAATGTTTTCCGTCGTCAACTACAATAACGACAAATACAAATCGTTAGGGAGTTCATATTACTGCGTGTATTAATGCAAGTGAAGCTCGTATATTTCCTCCCGTTCCCAACTGAGCTCACCGGGAGAAGCGACCGGGCGGCGGAGTGAAACCCGACGCGCCCGCGGGGGTCTCTAATTATAACGACCACTCAGGGCAGCGCGAGCGCGTGGACCTAAATGAGTGGGCTAGCAGACAAACCAGTAAATTAACCTCTCTGTAGATCAATAATCGCACGGTGCGAATTATGAGGGTTTTTGTGCAGGTCACCTACCAACGCTTTAGCCACTCAGAAGGAAGTCAAAACAGGGTTGATCTTAATAAAAGTTAATGCAAGTTTCAAACAAGCTGGCTATATCTAGGCTACTATAGATTTCAACATTGGATTTCAACAAAGTTTCAGCATTGATAAATGTTAAAATGCATGACTAAATAGGGTCACATTATCAAAATGTAGGTAAAAGTTCGCTAGAAAATGCGTTAAGTTTCGACTGTCCATATCGGAGAAGTCACTTTCAAACCAATTTGAACACTTGCGAAATCTGCGTGGGAAAGTTTTTCCCGATGGCACGGATTACTTTAATTCGCCCGCAAAATTTCGCAGAGCAATGGTAAATTGTGATTGCACCTCGATGAGTCGGTAAAGCATAATTTATAGATCATATATAGATCACTTTATTATAAATTATTAGAATACTAGTATTTTCACCAGCTACAAGTAGTTTTAAGTCAGTTATTTCTATCTTTTGCTGTAATGTGTCAGTATGGAAATATCAGTATACATTTCCAAACATTCATTTTGCCATTAATTGTAATAATCCAGTGAGATTTTTGTTTGCACAAGGAGTCTGACAACAGCCAGTGCTCCACTCAGAGATCTGATCTCATCATCATCCAATCTGTTGAAGAAACAGAACAAACTGTGGCAAAGTCTCCAAGATGCTTCAAGAAACCTACCTGCAAACTACAGTAGCCTACTGTTAAACGTTTTAGGCACTTGTGTAAAAATGCTGTAAAATGAGGATGCTGCCAAAAATAATGCCATACATATATTTACTTTATCAATTAACTTCTATTAACTAAATTAAATCAACATTTAGTGTGACCATCCTTTGCATTTAAGCAGCTTTTGCCCTAGGTGCACTTGCACATAGTTTTTCAGGTAGCTTTGCAAGGAGGTCTCTTGAAGCATCTTGGAGACGTTGCCACAGCTCTTCTGGAATAACTGACTTAAAACCACTTTTTAGCTGGTAAAAATACTAAAGTAATTTTACAATTACTCATATATGTTTATATTTATTAATCATACGAAGCCTATTAAAGAAGCCAAAATGTATTGCATAATTCTCCCTGAATAGCCCGCCAGTGTATACATATACAGGATGTGGATACTGATGCAAAAACTAAAGGGAGATGCTGCGGGACAACATGATCACTATGTGAGTCAAATTCTTTGTAATTAGATCAAATTGACCACTGGGTGGCATCATTTTAGAAAAGTTTGTTTGACATTACTTGAAGATGGTCTCAGTTTATATTATTTAGTGTAAACAAGTAGACTAGTGTTTTGTGTGCATCTTTGTACAAATATAGCTAATATATATTCTGTATTGTGCATGATAAGCTAGGCAATATAAGCATTACCAGCAGTTTTGTTTCTGTTCTACTGTTGTTTTCTATGCCTGTTTGTCATTCATGAATTCCAAACACATTCAATGCTATTTTTTCTAATTTAAGGGGAAAAAAAGAATAAAGAATATAATAAAGAAAATGATTTTCAAAGAAAATTAACTCAGCAAAATTGTCATCCTGGCCCCTCAGGTGTCAATTATATCAGACCTTTCTGGAAAATCACTTCTTAGATATTGCCACCATGTTGTCATGGAAAGTATCTGATTAAACTCTAACTGTTTGGAGCCTGACGTCTCATTTAACCTGTCCTGACACCTCCTGGAGCCAGGACTAACCACAACCCACAAGATGGATGGATGAATAAATGAATACATGGATTAGAGGATGAATGTGTTTCCCATTCTCTTCCATGTGTATGACTCCGAACAAAAGGAGGTTCTTTCCTCTTCATTAAGTTAATGGATGTACGGCTGATGTACCTGAGCAGCAGGTAAGACATGCACAGATTTCAGAGCCTGAGGGGCTGAATCAATCTCCACACACATGGACTCACTGGCTCCTTCCTTGTTTGTCTTTGGTCTTATGTGACATCTCTTTATTACTGCTGGATGCAGTTAGTGCTACAGAGACAGCCCCATGTGTTTTAGGTGGGGTTGGCAGCGCCATTTCTAATAAATTACAGATTTGTGCAAGTTCAGTGTCAGAGGAACTTCAGGAGAGGTGATATCAGGACTGGAAGTGAGATTTCTCGCTGATTCTGGAGAGTTTAGCTGTGCTGCGTCTGCCATCCAGGTATCTTTGACCTTGCTGAAACTAAGAAGACAAACAGAAGATAAGTGAGATTTATGTTTTATTAATTATTTTATTAATTACTGTTATTTTGTAAACAGATCCACAGTCACTGGAACCAGCAATGGCTCCTCTGAGGTCTGGAGCACAGGGGTGAGAAACTTGAATACTCCTTTTTTTTTTTACAGCTCTTTATGGAAATTATATTTTGTTATATCTTATCATAGTTTAAAAATGGAATTTTTATGATTGATTTTTCAAGGGTAAAACAGTAAAACAATGAAAAATACATAAAAATCCAAATTTTGGATTTTGTAAGATTTCAATCAAAATGTAACTAAAATTGTGAAATCTTATTACAATGTAAAATTTATTTCCTACTTTAATATCATTTAAAATGCAATTTATTTCTTGTGATACCAAAGCTGAATTTTCAGTGTCACATGATCCTTCTAATATGGATCAATACAATCATTCTTCTTATCATCTGTGTTGAAAACATTGAAACATAATGTTTTTCTGTGCAAACTGTGAATTTTTTTATTCTTTGATGAATAGAATGTTAAAATAATCTACTTGAAATAGAATTATAATTGTTTTTACTGTCACTTTGGCCAATATAATGCACCCCTGATGTATCAGAGTACTAAAAAAAACGACCTCTTTTGAATGGTAGTGTACATGCTAGGAATGATACAAATTTTACAAAACAGTTTTAATGTGATCTTTATACTGTATAAGTAACGTTAAAAGAAAAACAGCTCTGTTTTCATGGATCATTACAACTCATATTATACACTTGCTATGTTAATCAAAAGTAATTGCTTGATTTTTTGCAACCTACAGAGCATTTAACACTTAATCATTCTTCTGAGACATGCGGCCTCATCATGAACTCTTATTCTTTCTCTGGTAGACTGTCTCCTGTAACTCTATGCTGTGTGACACTGGCTGTTTGGCTGTGTTGTGGCGCTCAAACTGAGACTTCTGTGCTCAACCTGAAGCGTTTCATCGGCTGTGCAGTCAGAGAATTTACCTTTCTGGCCCGTAAGCCGGGATGCAGTGGGCTGCACATCACCACTGATGCCTGCTGGGGACGCTGTGAGACCTGGGAAGTAAGACTGATATTATTAGCCTGTGACAAACATATACTCGCATAAAAAGAGAGAAGAGCTTTTGCAGCACACCTGCAGTGTGATCAATACTTAATCAAAATGATATAAAAAAAATGTCAAGGGGATAATACTTTATTACAAGAAATTTCAATTATTTAACAGGGTTTTATAATTCTCTAATATATCAAATTAAACCCCATATACTGTATATGACATAGTAGCTTAAATAATAGACAAGGTGATTTTGCTTTTATACAAACTGAAGCAGGCAAAGGTTTGACTGTTTCACAAAAATCCAAAGATATTATGTTAGAGTTTGTATTTATTTTGCAAAATAATTTGCATTTGTATTATTAATTGCGTTTGTAGGATTGGATTGTGTTTTAATTTTACACAGAGCAGTTGAAATCACTTTGGGAACAGAACTCACTTTGACCCAAATAACCATTTTCCAAGAAAAAAAAAAATTGAACAGCTTTTCGTTTAGTGCTCTTAAAAGAGAGAGGCGGAGAACCTCTTGGGCTGATTGCTAGAAATTAAAGGAAAAAAATAACAGAAAAAAAGAGAAAAATGGTTGAGATATTGCAGTCAGGCCTGGCTTTTTCCCTGTTGTTTTTATTGTTTTATAATGGTTTCTTATGTATTTTTGTTTCATGACGATTTTCTGCAAAATATGTTTTACATACATTATTATTTACTGCTCTTAATTTTTGATAAGAGCATATCTGAAGGAAAGTGACTTTTTACTTTCAGTGAATAAAAACTAAAGAAATCAGCAATCATTCACTGTTGTTGCTCCTAAACTATGGAATTCTCTGCCCCAGATCACACCTGTCCGAATTTAAATCGCTACTCAAAACTTATTTGTTTTCAGACTGCTACCTTTCTTAAGTTGACTTCTGTTTCATCTGCCCCATCTACATATTACTCCTCTGATGTCTGGTGTTCTCATTATTTCCTGTATTATTGTTTGACGTTATCCTCTGTATTATTTGTTTGATGTTATCTGCGCATATTGGATGTTTATTGTAAAGTGTCCTTGAGCTCTGGAAAGGTGCTATATAAATAAAACATTCTTTACTACTTTTATTACTAAAAAATGTAACTAAATATATCTAAACAAGGGGTGCCCAAACTCGGTCCTGGAGGGCCGGTGTCCTGCAGAGTTTAGCTCCAACTTGCCTCAACACACCTGCCGGGAGGTTTCTAGCATGCCTAGTAAGAGCTTGATTAGCCTGTTCAGGTGTGTCTAATTGGGGTTGGAGCTAAACTCTGCAGGACACCAGCCCTCCAGGACCGAGTTTGGGCACC